CTGGCTTCACTGTCATACTTCACTTCATGCATGTTTTATGACGACGTTCAAGGATCTTACTGCTGGAATGCTTCCTTCCATTTGCCATTTTAGATTCGAAGCCTTATTGCTTTGATGCGTTCATGTTGTGCGTCTTTACTAATAGATTTCAATAAGTTTTTAATTGGAGAAGCAGCAAAAATGGGCTTTAATCCACTTGATCTAGACGAACCTTTTTTAATTTTTGGGTGGCTTCGCTCTACAAACTCAACTCGGCTGTTCTTCGCCGTCACATCAGAGCACCACGGCTCCACAGACAGAGCGTCTTTCATGTATGCTGATTCTCAGAGTCGCTCTTTACAATTAATCGTGGGTAATATGCTCAGTGATGACAGCTGCATGACCTGTATGAGACAACACACTGTAGGCAAGTCACAACAAAATCTGATGCTCTGTAATCTCACTGTGAACAGCTCCCCACTTCTAACCACCGTGAACAGTAATTCATGGACCGACGGCGCTACTCTTCAGCCCCAAGTTACTAAAAGAATCTATAGCAGGGATCTCCAAGTCTGGTCCTCGTGAGCTACTGTCCTTTAGACGTTACTGCATCACACCTGACTCACATTAACGGATCAGACTTGTGTAGAACTTGACAACAAGCTGTTGGAGATCCATTGATGTGAGTCAGGTGTGTTGCAGTACAGAAGAAACCTGCAGGACAGTAAGTAGCTCACGAGGACCAGAGTTGGAGATCCCTGGTCTATGTTCCACAGCAGTTAGTGGAGGCATTTAGGCCACTAGAGTCCGCCTGATGTGTCTTTTGTCATCTGGCCAAGTCCACGAGAGGCCACACGGGACCCTTTGCAGACAACCCAAAACTCATGTCTTCGCGGTGACGATGCTACAAGGGCAGTAGTGCACATGCTCAGTCGTGGTGTCCCTGTACAGAATACATACATGTTCTACATCACATGCATGGGAGAGAAATCTTCGACTCCAAGTGGACTAGAAGGCAGTATAATCACACAAACAAGGACGTTGTTCTGGTCTCCACAGCTGTCCACCATGTGCATGTCCACAAGGGAACACAATCAAGGCCTTAGTCCAGAGTAACACCCAGCAAACAAGAATGTCAAAGGCCATCTGGTGGCATCACAAGAAGACACAGTGGCATCCAGAGTAGTAGTTCCCAAACTTGTTGACTCCCCAAAGATGTTCACCTCATGACTCCTCGTCTACATGGCACCGTATCGCTCACTTCACAAGTTTGTAAATGAAGTGCTGCAGCTGATGAAATCTGTCTGATTGTTATCTCAGTCTGTGAAATCAGTGTTTGTTAGAATTAAAAAAGGAAGCCTGACTGTGGTTCGCCATCTGAATACAGATCTGAATCTGAGCATGTCATCTTCACCTCAGGCCACATTTCTGAACCGCATTCGGAGTCAGAGCAGACCGGCGAGTTTTCTCTGGGAAACACAACCCTCTGCTTCGCCCCCCTCCAGTGCTGCTCTCTCCACATGACCGAGCCGCTCCGCTGACGGAGGCCAACTGGTCTAATCCTGTTTACTCACCCTTTAACCCCGGGTGCAGCGGTGTAACCGGGCAAGGTTTTGGGGCTGCCTGTGCTGTGGTTCTTCTTGGTGGAGAGGTCTAGGACGCCATCTGAGAACAAACACACAGGGAGGAAGATTAAACATTAAGATTAGATCAGATAAGATTAACACAACACGGCTGTGAAGAGTTTAAATCACATTAAAAGACATCAATGAGCATGAAAACCACTGACGGGGACGTGAACGACACTCATCATGTTGTTAAAATGCAAGTTAATGCTGGGAAACCTTGAGTCCTGACGATCATGGTGATGCTACTGTGACAGTTAAATAAACACTGTTGGAGACCAGCGATGGTCAGAAGGCCAGACTGCAAGAGCTGCTCCGTATGACTGGACAAACACGACCGACAGCCCAAGGAGGCGACGCAGCCTCCAACGTCCCTCAGTCCCAATCGAATCGAGTTTCTACTGGATGTGCCGGAACAAGTCTTATGTAGGGAGGCCCCTCACTGCAACCCACAGGACCTGAGGGATTCGCTGCCAACATCCTGGTGAAAGACACCACGGGACGCCCTCAGAGGTGGTTCACAGCAGAGTCGGTGGCACAAAGAGGAGCTACATTATATTAGCAGGTGGCTTTAACGTTGGTGTATTTCTGTGTTTTCATGGGAAGACGGGAGGTTTTAAAAACAGATCCATATGTCTCTGTAACATTTAGAGGAACCTGAATCTGTACGACAAAGACAGGACAGCAGAATCTGAAAAAGTGAAGCGAAAAACTGCTGATAAACTGTAAATTAGCTTCACAGCTAAATATCACTGCATCAAAAGTCACCGCGTTAGCATCTCGTCTCGTCACAGCCCTGATTGTCTCACACGTTATTTAAACAACAAAATACAAAATACGATCTGCTTCCTCGCCGCATTTCATGCATCTGCAGTCTCTCCTCTTCAGTCCACGAGGAGCCCTCTGATTTCCAGCAGACACGTCTGATGCCTTCCTATACAAAGTTCTGGATTGCAATCAAAATTTTATTAACCTGAGGAGGAAGGCAGTTGCCGTGGCAACCATACCATATTCCTAAGTGAATGTGACAAATCGCTCAGTTTAAATTCAGCTTCACCGTGCTGAGCGCTCTGTTAATGCTGCACGTTAATTAATCTGCCAAGAAAGTTGCTGTTTGGGTTTGTTTTGTTTTTTTTAACATTCCTCATTAGTTAGAAAGTGTTTGTTACACACGAGGCGTTCACACTCCGTCGCTCGGGGTTTTTTGGCGTTAAACATTTGTAAAAATTTGCAGAGAGCGTCGCTATCAATCTGTTTGTGCTGCCTATTAGCAAAATCAATTGGGAGCTGCATTAACGACGTCGGCAGCTGCTGCGTGTGAAATGAGTTTGGTAGTTAAATGGTGAAAAGAAAAAAAAGAGATGCTTCCAAAACAAGTGGGTTCTCCGTAACACAAATGAAGTCTTGGAGATACGGCAGCATGTATCTGTGAATATGTTCATGTGGAAAATAAGGTCAGACATGGACAGAAAAGACTCATCAGCATTAAGTCAAGATGGAAATCTGGGTAAACTGGTTTATTCTGTCACCACATTTTGAGCCTTTTATATTAAGGGCTGACTTTATTTTTAATTAGATAATTATTTCTTGGTCTGTTCTTTAAGTTTTCGTGATTTATCCACGAGTAAAAATGTGAATCGGGGTTTTCAGAACAAGCAGAAACTAAAAGACGGTTAACGAGCGAGACCCAGGAGGACAAAACTGATTCTGATAAAATGAATAAACGACGAGTTGATTTGCAAAAAACAGATAACTCATTTAATTTTGTAGATTTTCAGAAAACGTATTTCTTTGTCGTTTGCTTGAGATGATATCAATCAAACTGAAGCTGAGTGGATTTGACTCAGTAGAAATGACATAAAACAGAGATAACTTATTGATGTCGTCTCAGGTAGACGATGGAAAAGTGGGTTTATGAAGCTTTGTGAAGACGGAGTTCTCTGTTTGTGCAAATGAACTCTTCAATAAATAAATACTTTTGCATGAGAGGAAGCTAATGCTGCTGCTAAATCCTACTGGAGCTGCAACAATTATTTGTCAACTAATAAAAGCCAGCTATTAAAACAATGAATTAATCAGTTTGAGTCATTTTTAAAGGAAAAAAAATAAAGATATTCTTCAACTCAAGCCTCTTAAATGTGAATATTTTCTGCTTTCTTTGCTCAGTCGGACAAAACAAGACATTCACGGACGGCATCTTCAACATTTTATAAAATCATTATCTACCATTTTACTGACCTGATCGGTTCACAATAAATATATTTGTCTTAAGGTTGCATTTAAAAGTTCAAGAGGGAATAAAACCCACAGTGTGCATACGGACATGCTCATGAACAGCTCACATAATCCCTAAAGTACAGGCGACCTTCTGACCCTCTAACCCTCCTAACCACACACAGGACGCCTCGCTAAGCTCCAGCAGCGTTTTCATTGTTTAATCGGACAGAAAAGGAAACATTAGGTGATATTAAAAGTCTCTGTGTGGCACATTGGATGCAGGAGAATCCTTCATCTGGCCGTGTGAACGGGAGCAGACTCATGTGACCACCAGCCAGTCTGGTTCCAAAACCCGAGTCACGAAATGCCCAGGGATAACAACCGTGATAAATTACACATAACAAGTTACACTAATGAGGTCCTTCTCTGAGCTAATCAACATTTTAATTATCATCTACATCTACATTAGTATGCTTTGTTTTCACAGAGCACACTGGCGGTAATAACAAGAGCTCCCCGCATCGCCGTGTTAAACAGTCATAGGAAGAAATATTTCCTCATCAGCATGCATATTTATGCGGCAACATGCCCTCAGTTCTAATCATATCATGACCTGCAACTCATATTTGCACAGTATCATTCGAGTAGTCAGTCAGGTCAAGTTGAGTTATTGTGTTCACAGAATATGTGCGCGCAGACGGACGCCAAAACCCTCCAGAACGATGTGTCTGGAGTTTAGAGATGTTTGTGACGTGGCAGGAAAACATGCAGACATGGCAGATATATATATATATATATAAAAACTCTATACCTACAACAACAAAAAGAAGAAGAAACGATGTGCATGTATCCCAAAATACTGCCTCTTTCAGTTCTCGGCAGCCTGCTCAGCGGACGTGTTTTGCGTGGCAGAAGCAGACTGATTTGTCACGAAGGAGTAAAAACCCCTTTCTTTAAAATAAATAAACCAACCATCATCATCGTCGTCTGCTTTTGTGGAGCGACGCCCTGCTGCTAAGCGCTCGGGATGATCAGCAACCGCACAGCTCTGACAAAACATCGATTAGCGAAGCAGCAAGAATGCCCCCGTTGAAATCACATCTACTGTGTAATTTAAACAAGTGCAGTTGTGTGTATATTATCCAGCTTTGGGGATAATCTGAATCAGAATTTCACTAAAAGGTGTTCATATGTGTGTGTGTGTGTGTGTGAGAGAGAGATAATGTGCGAGCATGAGGTGGATGTAAATGCCTACATCTTTTTTGTTAAAATTAAGGAGGCTTACTGTAAGCAGATTCCAAAAAGCTGGTATTAAAGTGGGTGACCGGTCACACTGCGGCTGAGGGCTGAAACCGTGAGCCGTGGCTTCGACCCCGCAGCCTGTTCGGTGATCACAAATGCAGACCCCCTGCTGGTTTAGTTTGATTAAACGGATACTGAGCCCGGAGCTACATTTCAGAGCTCAGTGTCGCGCTGCACAGGCTCAGTCCGGGAGACGACGGCTTTTCACTGATCTGTCCGTGAGCAAAATGTGTGTGTGGGTGAGACCAATCTGAGTGTGCGTGGATGAAAGGAACCAGTTTGTGGAGTTCATGAAACGTCAAGGTGAACAAAAAAATTGCTTTTCATGATCTTATGAGTAACTCTAAATACAGATGCAGTTGTTGTCTGTCTGTCTCAGGTTTGGTTTAAACCCACACCTGCCTGTTTTGCTGCATATGTAGCGTGTTACATGGCTGTAACCAGATCACGCCTTCCCTCTCTGTTCTTGCACTAAATGGACCTTGAAGGTTATTTTGCCGTCCCCGTGTGTGGATAAAATACACGTTTTTTTTCTTATTTCAGTACAAGACATCAGATCATTTGCTTGCATGTTTTTTATTCCTGCACACGTGTGTGTTTCTAATGTTCTCACGACACTCGACTTTAATGAAACCATCAGACTTTAGAGTAAAACATCATCCAGCTGTGCCGAAGCCCACGACTCAGGACTGATAGCTGCAGCTGCTCACCTGTCTGCAGTGAAAAAAAGGTACGCCGTGACTCGCTGTTAGATCCAGATTGATCCTGACTCTGTGACATGGATAATTAATGACTCTAAGTAATTAATAAAGTTGCTGCTGCTGCTGCACCATTAATGCACACGGCGCTCTCTCTCTCTTTTGGAGACGCTCATCCTGCTGCTCTCTGATGCTGCAGCTCTTTAATAAATTCAGTGGAAAAATAAGATCCTGTTCATGTTTTAAGATTCAGTATCGGTGGATCCCATCGATCTGCTCCTGGTTCTAGATGTGAAACAGGAAAATAAACGAGGTAACACTCAGCGTACAGGACAAGCGATCTGTGATTCTGGAGAGGTCTAACGGCATGCTGTGTCTTTTGTATTATTGATGAACAGCTGCGTGGCGTTCATGTCCTCGAATGCCGAGGCAGGAGTTGCATTCACTGACACGTGGACAGCAGAGTTTCAGACCATCAGAAATAAGCTGGAGTGTGTCTGAGCCATGAGATCATCAAGTCGCTGCAGAGTTCTGACTTTGGGTCGAGGTTAGAAGTTCGTTTGAAGACCGGTCATTTTAGCTGCTAAAGAATTAAAGAACACATCGTCTCATGCGTGACCCAGTGTGTGTGTGTGTGTGTGTGTGTGTGTGTGTGACGCCGCTCTCACCCTGCTGGCTGGGCTCTGGATCGGCCTGGTTCTTTTTGACGGTGAGGTCCAGCGGGCCGTCCTGGTCGGCCATGAGAAGCTTGCTGAGGACAGGATTCTGTGCAGAGGCAGCAGCCGTGCCTCCTCCTCCTCCTCCATTACTGGCTCCCGTACCGTTGCTGCTCTGGGTGCAGGCGGGTGCTGAGGCGGCAGCAGCGGAGGTGGGGCTGAAGCCTTGGCCCGGGGTCGGGGACGGAGAGGAGGAGGCAGACGATGGAGGGGAGCTTGGCGCAGGCAGGGGCCCGGGCGAGGAGCTGGGGGCCGGGGCCAGAGACACCGCTCTTGGCAGGCTTTGGTCCTTCATGGTGCCGTTGGGCAGGGGCGGGTCGTCCTGAGTAGTTTTTGAGGTATATTCGGCAGCGAACTGGCGGATCATTCGCTGCATGATCTCACGAGCCACTAGAGGAATGTGAGGGTCTGAGAAACTTGGGAGGTCTGGAGAGGAAACAAAGCAGAGGAGCAGACATATCAGTGTCCCGTACTCCAGGAATTTGTTCAGTTGTTGGCATGTGCGGCAGCTTATTTATCCCATTTCATCCTGAAAATGTAATCCTGATGCTGAAATAATCCAAAAATCACTCAGAATCTACTGAGAGCCTAATCCTGTGTATGAAAGCACCATGATATCAGTGCGTACAGCAGATTAGTGCTCCAGCGGGGGGCTTCCACAGCCATTAGTTTCCCAGGATTCTTAATTTTTTAATTGTTATACTGTTCAAAATTCTTTTTATTCATTCGTCGTACTGCGGTGCTGCATCATAAATCAAACTACTGACAAAAAAATACAAGTCTTTAATTTTAATCGTTTGTTTTATTGGTCAGTGTTAATCAAAAATGCAAAATAATTCAAGTTTCCAGCTTCTTTACTCCACTTAATGTCATCTTAAATGTAGTATTTTTATATTCTGTGCACATAATTAGCAATTTAAAGACTTGGGACTTCTGGTAAACAAGATAGTTTCACATTTCAGATATTTTAAAGATGAAGCAATTACCCTAAAAAAGAAAAAAAGATTAATTGATAATAAATTAAAAAAAGAAAAGGCAAAATTCACTCTGAAATAAGTAGAAACTGAAAAAAGTAATAATAAATAAAAATTTGTTAAATTATAATTTAGTGAAATAAGGCGTTGGTTTTGAATTGTGGTTAAAAAGAATAATTTAAAAAAATAAAAAACTGTCCTGGACTAATGAGAGCACTTTGCTGATGAGCAGGTGAGCAGTGGTCCAGAACACCTGTCAACAGGTGCAGAAGTCTGACTGAGAGTTACAGGAAACACCTGATGGCAGTGATTGGCTCAGAGGGTTGTTCAGCTACATGTTAGTTCATGGATCCCATCAGGCTGGTTTGATTGTGTGTTTTTTTTCTTAATATTTCTGCTGAACCACAATTTAAAAGCAACGTCATGATGTTCATTACATTTTTATTTATTACACTGGGTGTCTAGGATTTTTTAAACCGATTTAGGACATTTTTGCTGAATCCAAAAGATGCTTTTCTGGATCTGGTCAGGTTTTTATGTCAAAAAAAATCGATTTTGCCACTAAGTCGATGACATTTTTTGACATTAGCGATTGTTTTATTTTAGTATTTCTCATATGAAATTGGATATTAGAGGAAAAAGGTAATTTTTCTAATCCTTTTCATGAGCTAAATGATCCAAACGTTGACGAGCGTGAACATTTGTAAAAGTAAATAACGTTTCATCAAATCAAAACGTTGACCTCATCGAGGAAAACCGATGTCATATTTGGATTCAGCACATTGCAGTCGTCCTAAAGCAGCTCAAATAACAGAAAGTGGGTGCAGACCAGTGTGATTACTTTTGTCAATTTCACCTTATTCCAGTGACGGCTGTGTTTTTCCTTCTTTAATGGGAGGCTCTGAATATAACGACTGTAGACGTCACATCACATTATTTTGTATCGTACTACATATTTTTGGCATGTATGAGATCGCACCGAATCAAATGACGCTATCTAAATGTTTGAATTCATCATTAACACCAGAAGGAATGAAAGGAGGAAAAACAGAACCAAACTTTCTCTGATCTCCCCCCCGCTGTGACAAAACAAAGCCACACCAAACACCGGTCATCGATCTCATTGGTTAATACATCCTGAGCAAAACAACCGCGACGACAACACTCGTTTGTTATTCATGCATTAATCTGGCGCTGCCCCAGATAAGTCGGCTGCACTCATCTCCGTAGGACCTGTGGCTATATTATTATTATTTGGATACTTCCGTTGCGTGTCACTGAGTCAATCCCTAAATCCTTCAAACAATACATTAGCCCCAAAAAATGTAATCCTGAAGCTGAAATAATCCAAAAAAAAACCACCGCATACATCCGGCACTCTGCAGCATCGCGTATGCGTCTCTTAATCCTGCGTTTTGAGCGAGGTCAGGGCACCACAATGTACAGCAGGTATAGATATGTGTTCTCCAGCTGTGTCTTGCACATCTGCTTCATCAGAACGTGACAAACTCTGCACATTTCCCTTCCTCTAGTTCCTCAGTTCAGTCAGTTAATTTGCACCAGATCAACACATTCTCTGCTCCAACTAAAGCAGTAATAGCGACTACAGAGTGCAAATACTTCTCACTGAACTATTTTTCATCCGTCTCATTATTCCACCGGTTCGCTCCTGAGCCGACCTTTTATTTCTTCCGTGTCGAGCATAATGCGACTCTGATGAGAGCAGCGATCGCCTCTATCGTCGAAATTGTTATTATTTCACACGGTTATTTGGAGAACTTTAAAAAAAAAAGAAAAAAGAAAACAGAGGGTATTAAGTCTCCAGTCACAGGTCTGCGCTTACGAAACAGCTGCGAGCGGCGATGAAGGGGTCAAGTGGTTCAGCAGGGCCCTGTCGCCATGGCAACCTGAGCTGATCATGTTAAAATCATGGCTGTGAGCGGCAAGCGGCGAGATTTATGTCAGCCGAGCAAACGCTGCGTGTAGGTAACACACGAGGTCGCGTTTGGTTTCGGTTGTGTGAACGATGCAGGTACACTCAGATGTGTTCGTCCCCTCCCGGTAAAGAAAAAAACAAAAACAAAAAGCAAAATCCACAACAGTCACTCAAATAAGTAGAAACTGAAAAAAGTAATAATAAATAAAAATTTGCTAAATTATTATTTAGTGAAATAAGCCATTGCTTTTGAATTGTGGTTGAAAATAAAAAAAAAAAAAAAAATATTGGTATTTGTTTCTAACCACTGAAAACCCGACATGATGCAGCTGGCACATGAGTTCAGTCACATCACAAAACTCTAAATCTAAAATTATTACAATAACTTCTGGTGTCTGAGGATCATGAGTGCTGATTATAATGAAGATTAAAAAAAAAAAAATGATATGGGGAAAACTGATATCCTAGGATGCTTTTAATCAGCTTCATTCAAGGAATCCAATGTTTTGTTTTTTTGTTGTTGTTGTTCAAAAGTCATGTGCATAAATACACCTTCAGCTTTGAGCAGCTCGAAGTATAGAGATGCAACTTGGAAAAAAGAATCAGCAGATTGTCCCCAGTCAGCGTGGCAAAACTTTTCACCATCTCTGTTCGGCTCACAGATACGCGGCTCTGATCGTTTTTATTAGACGCTGTGAAAATAACCAACGTTCTCAAAACCGCCGTGACAATTAACAGGAAAGGAAAATAAATAAAAAAGGTAAAAACGATGCCGTCTGATCTATATGAGGTGTTTTAAAGATGGCAGCTGAATGCTCCTTTGAACACACAACGAAGAAAGATCCTCCTGCATGAAGCTCGATAACAACACAACACTTATAAGAGTTTGTTCTGAAAGTATTAAGGAAGATGACTAACAATCTGTTTTGTACTTTACGGAGGATAACAAGTTAAACCTGCCGTCTAGTCGTGCACATGAACTCTGAGCTAAATACAGCAGCCACTAGCGAGGCCTTCAGGAACACCAGCACCGCAGAGATAAGCTTTAAGTTCAGTGTTTTGTCTGTAATATTCTGCTCTGTGATCCGTTTGTCAGCTGCTGTGAAGCGCCACCGCGGCTGCATGTAGGTGTTGCTGCGATGTTGTCTAATCCTCCCGTAATGTTATCTGACTTCTGCGCTCCACCTGAACACTGCACTGCGTAATCCCAGCTACTGAAATTATCTTGTTGACATGGCATCACAGAGCTTAGACCGCGTTATTCTAGTCTGCAGACACGCTGTTCCCACCCAGCCACAACTGAACAAACCTTCAGTGCCAAGAAATCCCAGGAAGCAGGTTAGTTTGCTGAAAACGCGACCTAATTATACATTCTGACAGGTGCAGGCTGCCACTTTGGGATTTCTCCCGGGGAAATCCCAGCAGGCAGTGACAATATACGCTGTTTTTGCTAGGAAGTGGTGGTTGTGTAACGCTGCAGGCTTGTGCAGAGGCACACAAAAGGACTCGTCTGGCTGCAACAAAGCAGAGTAATTTGGCAGCTGTGTGTTTTTTTATTTTTTGGGGGGAATGTGGGGAGGGGGTTTCCTTCAGCAGTTTATGAATTCTGTCATCCACTCTCAGAGAGGAAGCTTCCTGAGGCATGACGTTAGTGTGTTCTCATGTCTGTGGGATTGTAGTGTATGGATTCAGACCTGTCCCCTGCCTGGGATAGACTCCAGCCCCCCGCGACCCTGGTGAGGATTAAGCGGTGTATAGATAGTGGATAATGGATGTCTTAGCAAGGAGGTGCCCCCACAGCAGCTTTAGTGCATCCTGGCTGTCTAACACGTCGGTCCAAAATGTCCCACAGGTGTTCAGTTAGGTTCTAGTGACTATGAAGGACATCTGATCCACATCATTTTCATCCTCATCAGACCATCAGTGAGCCTTCGTGGATGATGGAACTGTCATCCTGGATAGAAACGCTCCATCGTTGGGTAAAGTGCTGCAGCCTTGATGACACTCGGACACCATGCAGTCGTTACTATCGTACTGAGTCTCCTGTTGGACTCTGTTCCATCTACATGCATGAGTTTTGTGACCTTCTAGCAGCAGAAAGGAGGTTTACTGTCACTGAAGTTGTTAATTTATACAAGCTGCTGCTAATGATTCTCTTTCTTCATTACTAATTAATGTTGTGTGGCTTTTTGTAATCAACCAAATGGCCATTCAGTCTATAGACAGAAGAAAATACTGTAATAAAAAAATAAAATTTAAAAAAAAGCCCTAGAGGTGATGTCATCAGAATATTAATACTAAAAATATTCTGGCAAAATAATAAAAAATAAATAAATAGCCCCCCAAAAAACTTACAGTTATCACTTTTGTATTCGTCACATAAATGATAAATCCACTTTATCAAGCTCTAGATATTTCCAACGCCTGGCTGCTGAACTTTTTCCATGATTTTGGTGTAAATCAGACGTGACACATGAATCCTGTATAAAAGCAGAGATTCTTTCTGCTATGAGTGCTTGTTTCAAATTTAATAATCTGAATGCAAAGTTTAAAAACACAAGAGGTTAATCCACATCCAGGCCTCTTAAGAACAAACACAAAACAAAAAGTTCAGACGTTTCCTGCTCAGTGGAATCCGGACTAACAGACGGCTGACATGCTCGGTGTAAATGCACTTGTTTAATCCAGTGCTTGTGTGTCTGTTACTGTATGAATGGCTGTGCGAGTCTGTGTAAGAGTGTGTGCGCCTGTTTATCTGTCTATATATAGCAGCTCTGCGGGCAGCTCTGCCTGTGTGGGTGACGCCAGATTGATTAGGGCCGGGCATTGATTGGACAAACATCTGCTTCCTTCCTCTTGGAAAAAAAAAAACAAAACACAACAGTTACTCTCACCAGGCTCGGATCACCTCTGGCACAGAGTACGGCACCGGGACAGAACATTGTTCAGGTTAAAAGGGATTACGGGAACTCGGCAAATATTTAGAAATTGAGTAGATATTGATTTGACACAAAGCTGAGAGCGAATGTAAACACAAGCTCCGGTATGAAAGTTAAAGGTCAATGGTACCGACCCGATACAGTTCAAATTCACGGTCCACAAACCGTTTGCTCGCAGCGTGTCCTATGATGCATGCTCGCGTTCACATTTTTTCTCTGTATGATTATCTGTTGGGGCGTGGTACCTTCGATAGTTGCAGCAAAGGCAGATGGTAAATCTGGGGGAAAAAAAAAAAACCAGAGGATGGAGACGGAGAAGCTCAGGGTGTCTCCGATCACGTGACATCAACAGATCGTTCTGCACGACTGTATTCACCCATAAAGGCACGACGATGAACGAACAGCTGCCTAAAGACGCTGTGGTTTCACAAAACTACATTTAAACGGTTGTTTTGTACATTCTGTGATCAGAGACTAAAGCTCTGCAGAGATATGAATGGGCTCATTTATTGGATACAGCTCAGGCACTGATGTGATGTTGTTGAAATCCGGTGCTCAGGAGCAGACTTGGTGCTTCATGTACCGTTTGCTGGGACGAGACAGCATGTCACGGCTGCTGTCATACGTGCTCGTCAGCGCGGACTGAGGAATGGCGGTGCATATGTAATGCTATATATATGAACTAATGCATAATAAGTGACGAAAATCAATTCAGATGGACACCAGTGGACGTGGAGGCAAAGTGAACATGTGAGAAGTAGTTTGGCAGGAGAGCTCTTCACGGGCAGCGACGGAACAGGCTGTATCTTAACATTTGTCAGATAATGGAGGACAGGAGAAGTCAGAGCCAGCAGGAGATAGAACACCTTCTATGATGATTTTTACGAATATTTAATCTAAGCAGCTACCAGGTTATGTTCACACTGCAGTATTAAACCTGCAGTATGAACTTCTGTCCCTCCTGGAAGCAGGAGAAGACAGATTTTATTTCTTTGTTTCTGAAGCATTGAAAACTTTTCTTAGATGCCTCCTTGTTTTTTTTCCTACTAAGGCTCCACCGTGCTTGTAGTTGCTCTGTCAGGAGATCTGATGATCTTAGATGCAGGGATGGATGATCCTAATTTGAAGCATGACCTGCTTTTCAGAAGGATCATAGAAAAGATTTCCATATGCCACTACTTCATTGTGAGAGTTTAGCTGCTGCTAGCCAGCTAGCCCTGGCCTGTCTTCCTGCCTACACACTGGTCAGACTTGCGTAGCGGCAGTCCTCAATGCCTTTCCAGGGAGTCTCTCGTACTGCTGGACTCCACCATCTCAGACTGGCAGCTCGGGACGGACTTCACAGCATCCCTGTTGTGCTGCAGCCTCGTTAGCTTTGCGTAGCAGGACATGAACTAGTTCTTCAACGGCCGCGACATCTGGATGGCAGGAAACACAACAGGGAATACCGAGACCAGCTGCAGTCCAAGATGGTGGAGTTATAGTACTTCTGTGGTGCGAGATGATTCCCTGGAGAGTCATGTAAATGTCATCGACGACTGACTGGCTAGCCTGGTTGTAGTCATAAAGCTTCACATTGGTGGAGTGAATCATCATTTCCAGTCAGAACCTTAACAACAAAATCAGAGTGAAGACAGGACGCAGGGATTTGTGAGTTGACCTTTTAGCATTAAGTTGAAGTGACAAGCTTTGTATCCAGGCAACCATACCGTGTTCACGCCATCACACGAGTTGAACTAAATCTGTGGCGAGAATCGTGAGTCAGATCATGGATTGCGATTCTACCCCAACAGATCGTCACATGATCTTTGGGCCAAATCACTCACCAGTACTACTCCTGTCGTCACATACAACGGGCAAAACACAGACATTTACCCGGTCATGGTATTCTTAAACTCATTTGTAAGGTCTTATTGTTTACATTTAAAAGTGTCGTAGTTAATGTTTTGGCATCACATGTTCCAACAAAAAGCCTGCAGGAAGCACATTTACCTCCTGATCTGAGATGAATCTCATCCTTGCTGTCTGACTGAGAACAAATGCTTAATATTTGAGATCAGTTAATTGCATGTACTCCTCATAAAGCTGCATTCTCTGCACAACCGAGTTTGTGCTACGATTCATTTTAGAAAAAAAAAAATCTATTTTTCGGAGGACAGCTGAAACTTGTGAACTCATCACAGTGCGATAGGCGCCTACACATGGACAGCTTACATTCCAGCGCATCTGCCTCAGGCTCAAGGTCATTAAACCGACTCTAATATTTTAGCAAAGTCAACAGTCACGACCGGTTCTCCAGCGAAAGATGAACATAATTTTCTGTGGCATAGGGGCCTGCACCTTGAGTTAAATGCCGCCAGAGTCAGAGCACAAATGTGGACAACAACAAAAACTCTCACATAGAGATGATAAGTAGCGGGAAGCCCTTCCAAAAACTCCCCCACTCCCTTTGTCACGGCTGGTGCTGGCTTTCAGCCAGAGTTTTAAAGACTCCTACCTCCAAAAATCAGTTCTAGTTTCCCCCTACCATTTAAAATAACCTTCTACGGAGTTTCCCACATGGCCTCTCGTAGTAATCATGCCGCTGTTAGTACGGGTCGGAAAAGTGGGTCGGCCTCTTTGGCCCAGATCTCAACCAGTTTAGGGTCTACCTGCAAGGCAGAAATGTCTTTGTTCCAGTTGTGAAACTTTGCCAAAGTTACATGTTGTGTCTCTCAGGGATCGATCCCTGGCCCCCTTTCTTCATCTCAGCTGCACAAGTTGTATGCAGACGACACACAACTTCACACATCAGTCCCGCACAGACACTCGTGTCCTCTCTAAGTCATCTGACTGAAGTATATGTGAATAGCTTTCAATAAAGCAGCAAAGGTAAGTTATTCCTTTCAGTTCCCGAAGTGGGCTGTCTCGAACAAGACAAGTTTAAAGGTCTGTATGTGGTCTAGTTTCAACTTTAGTCGCCTTTTGGAATGGAAAAGAATTTTCTAAATGTAATGCAATAAATGTACATTATATATACTTTTATACATATTGGTATCATATATATTTATTTATTAGATATGTATTTGTATTATGTCAGTAAGGCATATTACCCAAATTTTCTGAGCTTATCCTTCTGAAATAGAGTCGTAATGACTGCGAGTCTGGTTCTGTTTGAGGTTTCTTGGGGTTAAAAGAAAGTTTGTCTTCCCACCGTCAAAGACCTGCTTGAACGTCAGCAATCTTTTGGATTCGTTGGGGTTCTCTCCCGAAAACTAACTGGACTGAACTGTGTGTCTTACCTTTTCTGTGGAACACAGCATTGAGGAAGTCTTGGGCCTGTCTCTCCAGCCGGCTGATCCGAGACTGCTCCTGTTTGAAGTCTTCACACTCCGACAGCACGTGGCTGCCTCCACCGTTCTCTATGCTGTGGTCCTGCACAGACAAACACACAGACGCCAGATGAGTGGCTGAAGGTCTGATCTCTCACCAGATATCGCCGTCCCACGGTCCCCACACAGCAGACAGCACCACTCGTTGTTTTTCATTACGATCGCCCAGCTTAGACGTCCACGGTTCTGCTGTTGTGTGAGTCAACAGATGTGTCGTGCAGACCTCTTCATTCATGGGCCTGAAAACGGGAGATTCTGCCAAGACTATAAATACGCATAGTGGATTTTTGTTGGCACGTGTTGTGGCAGCATTATACTCTCTTCTATGCATCTTGGCAAGAATTAGGACTAGATTTCACTGGCTTGAATCAGAATCAGTTAACTGTAGGGCTGCAATTCAAACTTCCATTGTTTAGAAAATAGCATGTCCTCCATGACCCGAGTGAGCGGTGTGTAGATGATGGATGGATGGTGCCGATTGGTGAGCTCAATGGCTATTGAAATTTTCAGATGAGTCTTAATTGTATTTGTTATTTGGGGTGGTGTGATGTATAAAAATCCTTTCTGCTGTGGTAACGCCCTGCTAACGATGTGTCTAGCTTGTCAGTAGCTTCACCTTCACACGTCTGTCAGCTCCTCAACACGACCGACACTCAGCTTCGTCTAAACTCCAACCTCACAAACTGCTGTGAAGTAACTGGGGAAGGTATAAAAACATGTCCGTGGGTAAAAATGAGCTGCGTGGAGACGCATATGTACGTGTGGAAGTGTAACAAGCTGGTCAATAACTAATAAAATGACATGAAACGTTGACATACAGCCAATCAGATGGCTTCAGTCAGTTTCCATTCATGTTCAGACTTACATGCAGTGAAGAACGGTATGAAGTGCATGTACGCCTGACCCATACAGCAGGTTCTGATGGAACACTGACAGCAGACAAAGCTTCAAATATGGATGCTGCTGCAGAGAAGGTATAAATTCTACAATGAGATGCTTCATGTTCATCTTCAGCAAAGAGGATCTGCACAGTCTAACAGTGTGTCAGTACCTCAGCTGCTAGCGAATGTGAAATACGGCGATGCCTCCCTTTTCTAGTGTTGAATGATGAGAAGTTGACCTTCCACCTTCTGGATATAAAAATGTCACTCCTTCACCGTTTTATTCTATCACACGTTTGTGTGAAATTTTCTCTGTAATTAAAGTATGAATTCCTGAGTTATGGCCAAAAAGATGTTTCATAAGGTCACAGCGACCTTTGACCACCAAAATCCAATCAGTTCATCCTCGAGACCAAGCCAACGTGTGCGCCTGATGTAATAAAATTCCCTCGAGGCATTCTTGATATATCGCCTTCATAAGAACAGGATGGAAGTGAAGCCAAAGTGGCCTTGACGCCAGACCGCCAAAATCTAATCACTTCATCCCAAAGTCCAAGTGAACATTTGTGCCAAATTTGAAGAGATTCCTGCACAGCGCTTCTGAGCTACGTGAGAATGGGATGAAGATGATGTCCTCAGCCCCAGATCTCACTGGTGCAGAGGCATAACCAACCAGAGCTAAGTGACAATTCAGCATCAACGTAAGACACCAGTGTTCACGTTGTAGTAAGTGTTTTGATCTGATTGTCTTTAAAACAGGAAGCCGTGTGTGCTCATGAGTCCGGGTGCATCGACACCAAGGGGCAAAGCAACGGAGATGAAAGTGCATTTTTAAAGCCATCGCTCTCGCTTTATATTTTGACCCCCGTGCTGCCTGTTTGCTTCAGATCAATGAATCGATGGACCCCACCCACTGGAGCTGCTCTGGCATTTTACGAACAAGCAGAGAGTAACAGTAGTGACCCGGAAGGAGCACTCAGAACAAAAAGGGACATTTTTAATTGAGTGAAACGAGGACTATAATCATTTTTTACCTAATTTCAAACTGGAAATTCTAGAAGACAGCCCTCCTGCAATCCCTGCAAAGCTTTGTTTAATTGATTTGACTTTTTGTTGTTTTTCTGTTCATATTTTGATTCTTGATTACTACATTCACAAACGAGCTGTGACGACGCAGCCTCCGTCAGCACGACTCTGTCAGCATGAGGAGAGGCAGGCAGAGAGAAGCAGATGGGGGTTGATGGAGGAGGGCGGCGATGAAGCGGGGATGTTTTCAGGAGACAGATGGCTGACCTCGGAGGTCCCGCCGGGGTCAAGTCGAAAAACAAGCGACAATCGATGACTGAGGGAAGGACAGCCCCCCTCCTAACTTCCTTCCCTACTTCGCTTTTACACCACAAACTTCATGTTGAAATAGACGCTCATGGTGAACATCCACTAAGCCGTTTAAGACCGACAGCTAGATAAAGAATAAACACGACGAAGAAGAACCCACGGGAACCACTCAACGCAGCAGATCTGAGTGTGTGTCTGTTTCCGTAAAGCTATGACACAAATTTTAGGATTTTTTTTTACATCAGTTTAGTGAAAAGCTAAAGATTAGATCAATAAGATAAATATCAGAGTATCTCCAATCAATCTTTTGTTAAAGACTCCTTCTCTCGATCCACACGGTGGTGTTTATGACGGCCACAGAGAGAGTGGGGGGATGATGATGTGCAGCGAGGGACCCCATCTGGAATCATACGAGGACTGTTAAACACCCCTGACATCCTTGATCTTTGCACACACACACATGTATAGTTGAAAGCTTTCTTCCTGACAGAATAAGCAGAAGCAGGTACAGTAGCAATCTGTGTGCACATGTAGTAATGGGTGACAAATTAAAGGAAAGAAAAACGGAGAAACACGATGAATGCAGGTGGCTCCACGCAGGTGCATTGAGATGAACAATCACGCTCTGTGTATAGAAGATGGCAGGAGACTGCTCAGCGATGTCGTGTGTGAATAGGAACTAAAGTGAAATCTGCTTTAAGATATACGGTAGGTATCAGTAAGCAGGTTGGGGCGAGTTCGGTGGTGCAAAAAGCACAGGCGCTGGTCTGCACAGAGGGGTTGAAAAAGTGATCTGTTTGGATGACTCGTCTTTTATTATTATATTCCCAACTAGTGCACAAGTTCATGTGATGTCAAGAGAAGGCCTGAACAGAGGATTTAGTGGCTCTAATATGCTTTGAGGGATATTTTTGCTTCATGGTTTGGGTTCCCTTGCACCCTTAGACGGAAGAATCACAAACACAAAGTGGTTTTGTGTGATCCTCTTTATCCTAAAATAATGACCGAGTCACAGACTGTGGCCTTTACAGTCACCAGTACTGAACCCTGATGGGAGGTTTTGGACTGACCTCCTAGATCATCATCTAAACACCAACTGAGGGAACATTGTTTTAGAAGAATGGTGTCCATCCCCCCGAGTGGAGTCCAGAGACTTCAGACTGAGGATGTTTTGTTGGCCTGTGGTGGCCCAGTGCCTCATTAAGCTACTTTGTGTTGGTCTTCATCCATCTTTATATGTGTTTACATGTTTAAAAAGTAATCAGACGAACTCATTATTATTCTGCTCCCAACACCCTTTAGCTGATGAGAAACTGTTCGGAGGCCCCGGCCACTCTGCTGCTGTGGGAGTCTCACTAATTTACACCCATGTCACCGTCCTCCTCCTCCTCCTCGTCCTCCTCGTCCTCCTCCTCCTCCTCCTGTTGCTGCCACACACACATACGCACACACTCACTGACATGTACACACTCACCTCCAAATCATTGTGTCACGTTCCTTTCATAAGCTAAATTGGGGTCAAGACCATGATGGTCTAACAACACAAATAACACGTAGAGCAGCAGCAGCAGGAGGAGGAGGAGGATGAGGAGGAAGAGGAGGAGGAGGAGAGGCTACGACGTGGTGCTTTCAAAAGACAGCTCAAAAAATGGCAACAGACAAAAACACAGAACATGTGGACAAAGAAAAGGAGCTGATTCACAAAAGTAATGCGAGTGCTGTATGTGGTAGAAAGCAGCATTCATCTCTGTTTTTCACACCATTAACAGATCTAATGGAAACACACACACACACTGATTTCCTTTTGCTGTGTTTTTGAAAAATTTGTGAAACAGAGTGAAACGTTCTGATCTCTTCTCCCCCCGCCACTCAATCTAAAAGGCATAGAGAGCAACGGGAGTGAAAGCGCTGCACATGTTTTTAGGCTTTAGTGCTGGTTCTTCTTTTGATTTCATTCAAGGTCTTTTTTATTGTAAGCCGTAGATGAAAATGTCCAAATGCTGCAGAGTCCTTATTTAAACCCAATAACATCTGAGTGGTTTAAAAGGAAGAACTTCTCATGGTCAGTCTTTGTAAAACTTATATGTTGTTTGAGCGTTTGATGAGAAAATGGAGAGAGTGGCTTAGCTTAGCTTAGCATACGAGAAGCAGGTGGAAGCTACTGGTTTACAGTTCGGGTGCCTTGTCCAGTCTTTTAAGTGTGTTTGCTTCAACTCATGAACGTAAGGCCTCGTTCACACGTAGCAGGGCGTCTCACAGAACAAAGATGTGTTTCTACCATTCGGTTTGTCATCCGTACGAAAACGATTCTTTCAAAATCCTCCGACCAAAGTGACGACCTGCCAATCCTCTGTTTATGCGTCTGTATCAGTAACCGGGTTTTAGGTTTCCAAACGTCAACAAAATCTGTTCTTTACATCACGACCTGTGTTTACATTTGGAGACAGCGTGGACGCCCTCAGAACCGTGTCGTCTCTGGTCCGGGCCCAGATAGCGCTCCACGTACAGGAACACAGGACGGTTATTTTCCAACACCTCGCCGTTCCACGTCCGAGGCAGGTTCTCCGTCAGAGACACCGATGCCGGTTTTAGGTCACTGCCAGCTGGTGGGAGAACTTTGAGGAATGGCGTGACGATTTCCGAACGTCCTGGCCGTCACTCCTGTCGTCGGAGTTCTTACATCCTCACGTAGAAGATGAACGTGCACTGATGCGGTTAGGTGTGGATGAATTCTTTTTCTAAAAACGAGGTGGTGTGCACGTTAGGTTTGCAGGATGTTGGGTTTCTCAAAAACCCTGCTACGTGTGGACAAGGCCTGAAGTAAACGTTGACCGTCATGGCGACAGAATAATGGCACCACCGGTTGTTTTGGTGGCTTCTGTCAGCCTCGCTTTCAAAAAAAAACCAAACGAAAGCAAAAGAGCCCCGTTGTCAGAGGAGGCCAAGAAAGAAAGTGATAGAAACTGAGTTGGAATGAGAGTGAACATCAGATGGTTCAAACCCCACATTCATCCAACCATATATCCATTTTCTATACAATGCAAGGCAGCAGGGGGGCTGGAGTCCACCCCGGCGGACTCAGGGTGAAGGCCGAGCACATCCTGGACACGTCGTCAGTCCATCACAGGGCCACAGAGACAAACAGACACTCGATCGCCACTTTAACATGAGCTACCTGCTTGTTTGATATTCGTAACACAACTTATGAGTAATTTTGCTGTTTGAACCATCCAACTACCATAATTATAACAATAATAATAATAATAATATATGTTATTTGTTGATACCTTTAGAAACACCCAATGACACCTTACAAATCAATCACAAGACAATACTTGTGACAAGAAGTGGATATGAAGTGACAGGCGTTTATTTGGGGCCTCAGTAGACCCTGAACCAGGACGTCTCTGTAGTTAAACGTGACGACACCCAATGATGTCTGATGTGTACGACAAGATAAAACTGCCTCCTACCTTGACTTTCTCGCGTCTTAAGCAGCAGAAGAGACAGTTTTCATCGAAGGACCAGTCAGACACTTCCTCTGGCTCGCAGTCTGGATCAGAGGGGAAGACAAAAACACCAGGTTAGAACAAACTTCTGCTCCCAGAAACCTCAGCGTCTCCCAACCGGACGTACACCCCACCAGCCGATGGATGTTTCAAGTCATGCTTAAAGCCAACCATTAAACAGCCATGTTTTTTTCCTGCTCTGTTTTTCCACTTTGCATTTTGTTTGCACTACGTGTTTGTTGTGCAATACTGTCGAATAAATACTCAGGTAAAGGTTGAGTCTCAGAACCAGCTGTGAATGAGGAGCGCATGAATCAGTGGAGAAATCCCAGCACAGCGTCTGTTTTCATTCAACATCCAGCCAAGCCTGCAGAGACTGACAGCTGAGGGACCTCAACCCACAACAACAACGACAGCATTAAAATGATTCACTTTTAATTACAGCCAATGATTAAATTTCCACGATGACTAACTTCATATGTCAAGTACGCCGTGTAAAAAAACTGAAGCGCACCTGTGATTGACAGATCAGCTCAATTCGCTATCGAGCACATCGCTGCTGAAAGACCACACGCGCTGCTTCTGTGTGTGTGAGAGTGCATGTAAATACGTCTGTATCTGTTTGTGAAGTATTCATGCCCTAAAGCCCTATTTGCAAATAACTAATTACCATCTTTCAAGGCAACATTTTCTTAAACATGTTTAGTGAGGAAAAAAATTCACTGGAGCCTCCTCGGTTCAGCTGGCTGCACATCATGAGCACCCAGCTTATCCGACTCCCCAAAGCTTTGCTGTCTGTCTCCATCAGGTGGAACAGGGAGCACAGCCTCTGGCTCTGGAGCTGTTCTACACAACTCTGAAGTCGCATTTGAAAGTTAAATGTGCAGAAAGCATTAACACAACAGCAAACAACTATCTGCTATGTACAGACCGTAGACTGTATAAGAGATGGACGTAGCTACCGTGACGTCACTCGTTGGTTTCTGAACATGAAGCCAGGGTTTTGCTACTTCCCGGTTGACATCTTGGATTTTTGGAGCCAGTGACGCAAAAATAATTGGAGGGGGACGGAGCCATAGGAGCAGCGATTGGTCAGACGGATTGAGAGGCGGGCCCTCTCTACCCCGCCCACATTTACCGCCTTCGAGCCACGCCCCTTGCCCCGCAAAATTTGGAGGATTTTAAGAAAATTCAGTATTGATTTATTTTCAGATTGGCCGCCTGATCTCTGGATTTGATCATGAAAACTAATAATAAAAACATCCTGAGCTGTAGGAATGCAGTATTTGGTGATCCAGGGCTTTTTGGAGCAGCAGCTAGCGGACGTAGGTTCTGGGTTGGCTTCATTTTTCAGGGGCAGTTGCTACGTCCATCTTTTATACAGTCTATGGTACAGACGCTGTGGAGCATTTTTCTCACATGTACCTACGTGAGTCGTCACCCTGGACGTTTTCTGTTTTTTATCCCTTGTGGGCCACCATAGCTCAGGCTCATGACAGCAACACGAATTAGCAACGCTAGCCACTTGAAACATGATTCGGGAGCAGTGGAGGCAACATATATCCATATATAAATGCGTTTAGCTCTTCTCCACCATGAACTTTAATAAGTCAAAGTGCAGGTCCAAACCTACTGATGAGCATCTTCAAGCCAAATGTGTCTCAGCTGTGTGAGAGGAAGTGTAGGTAGGAGTAGGAAAGAGGAGCCGATGTTCTGAAGAACCTTTCATGTTCAGAATTGTTATTAATAAAGATTGAGAAGATTGGACCGGTTGTACTTTTTGTGGAATACTTGATGCGGCCCAGCCTCACCCAGACCTCCGGCGGCCCCCCGGGTAAGTTGAGTTTGAGACCCCTGCTCTCCAGGATCAAGTGGTGTTTAGATAATCGATGGATGCATGTGGACCCAGTCTGTTCCAAAGTGTTCCTCTAACTGTTGCTCGGGCAGATTAGCAGCTCTGATTGTGGCCACTGTGACTTCTTCTGCTTCATGAATTTAGCTCAGAAGTGAACTAATGGACCAAACTACATCCAAAACCAATTTCCATCGGCAAATGTCTCTTTTTTAAAAAATATCGTATCGCTGACATTATGTTTCGAGGCAACAAAGCGATAAAAAAGAGAAAAACCTCAGTGTATGGCTTTATGTTTTAGATAAGTCCCGTTATTGTTTGGAGCTACACCAATGTACTTTCTTCACACTTGATGCTGACAGTGTAATCCATCACATGACTGTGACTCCGGCTCCATCATATGACTGTGATGGATTTCACAGCCTAAAGGAAGTTTAAAAAACTCTGCGAACTGATTTCCATACCGCATAGCGATGAATGGGAACAATGGCTGCTGGGAATCGTTGAAGCGTGCAAAGAGGAAAAATGCATGATGTGGAGTTAAAGAATAACCAAATAGCAGGCTGCAGGACAGACGTGTCAGAGCGACCACGCCCAGCAGCGAGCACACGCTACTGCAGGAAAGTTAAAGCACTGAAGAGACATTATGAGCCTGGTAGGGTGGGTTTTGAGGGGCAAAGACAAAACGCTCCTGTAGGAACATCTCTCTGCAATAATCATAAGGAGCCATGTTTTTCTTCTTTATGTGTGTGTGTGTGTGTGTGTGTGTGTGTGTGCATGCCAAGGTCACACACGCCGCCGTGTTAAAACACAGCAGATCACATGTGCGGCTTTCCAGTCACAGTTCCTCTCGTTTTCCGGTGAGACACGGAGGAACGCCGGCGCTGCCTTTCTATCTGTGTTTCCTGCAGTAATGGAAGAGCCAAAGGTGAGCTGTGCTTGAACCCCGCGGTTGTGCCACTTACAATATCCCTGGGAAGGCGCCAATTAGCTCCAGTCCCACTGGTGCATTGACCCCCCGGCCTCACACCTGACAAGGCTGTGTGTGTGTGTGTGTGTGTGTGTGTGTGTGTGTGTGTGAACATGACGATGATATTGACACTGCTTGCATGCGCGGTCCTGCTTGACAGTCGGTTTGTTTGCTTGCGTATTAATTAATCAGCTTCTGCAGCGCCGGGTTTCTTAAATACGACGTAAACGAGACACGGTGTGGTTAACACAGAAACCTGATTTCTGTGCAGGCTAAATGTCAACACGGTGCACAGTGTTTACATGGGTGCAGAACAAAGACGGGTAACGTAGCGCCGTAAGAGCCGGACGAGGAGATGGAGATGATTAGCACATGGATGGATGGAGGAGGGTCGGCTTTGTACTGCGTTTAAAATCACTAAAACACTTTAAATAGTCTTTATTTAGAAATACGTCTGAAAGCAAGTGGAATCAGAGCATGCATCTGTGTGTGTCGGTACAGTTCAGCGTCTCCATCTTATTTTTTTAATGTACTTTTTGCTGTTTAGAGAGCGCAGCTGGCTGAAGCGCAGCGTTGTGAATTCTGACAGCGATATCTGGAGTAACCAGCAGAAGATAGACCGCCTTCTCTCAACACCTAAAATCAATCACAGGCAGAGGAACTGATTTCTGCACCCACAGAAAGAAACGGATCAGAAAGCGATACGAAAACAATTCACACACAAACACACAATGCTGGATAACACCAAGTTAATAAACTAGTCGTGTTTGACAAATGATGGACGACGGCGGACCAGGATCTCTGTACATTCACACTAACAGTTTAATAAAGACCGACTTCTCCGAACAGCGCCACGAGGAATCTGGGGAATGTGGGTAATCTGTAACACAGGAGGACGAGGGCCCGTTGAGATAAACTCACGTACGGGGTTTGTTTTTCCTTCTTTACGTTCATGAAATCCAGAGAGTGTGAGCGAGGCTTCACTGAGCGACTGCCAGCTTCACTTGGACTGAGT